CAAACCCACACCCACTAGTAACCCAAACCCACGCCAACTAGGTACCCAAAACCACACCCACTAGTGACGCAGACCCACGCCAGACCCACGCCCACTAGTAACCCAAACCCTCGCCCACTAGTAACCCAAACCCACATCCACTAGTAACCCAAGTCCACACCCACTTGTAACCCAAATCCACGGCCACTATTAACCCAAACCCACGCCCACTAGTACCCAAACCCACGCCCGCTAGTAACCCAAACCCACGCCCACTAGTAACCAAAACCCACGCCCACGAGTAACCCAAACCCACGCCCCCTACTAACCGAAAACGCCCACTAGTAACCCAAGCCCACGCCCACTAGTAACCGAAACTCACTCCTACTAGTAACCCAAACTTACGCCCACTGGTAACCCAAACCCACGGCCACCAGTAACCCAAACCCACGCCAAACCCACGCCCACTACTAACCCAAACCCATGCACAGTACTAACCCAAAACCACACTCACAAGTAACCCAAACCCACGCCCACTAGTAACCCAAACCCACACCGAACCCATGCCCAATAGTAACCCAAACCCACGCTCACTAGTGGGCGTGGGTTTGAGTTACTAGTGGGCGTGGGTTTGGGTTACTAGTGGGCGTGGGATTGAATTACAAGTGGGCGTAAGTTTGGGTTAGTAGTGGGGGGGTGTGGGTTTGGCATGGGTTTGCGTTACTAAAGGGCGTGGGTTTGGGTTACTCGTGGGCATGGGTTTGGGTTACGAGTGGGCGTGGGTTTGGGTTACTAGTGGGCGTGGTTTTGGGTTACTAGTGGGCATTGGCTTAGTGTGCATTTGGGTTACTAGTGGGCGTGGGTTTGGAGTGGTTTTTGGTTACTACTGGGCGTGGGTTTCGCGTGGGTTTGGGTTACTAGTTGGCGTGAGTTTGGGTTACTAGTGGGCGTGGGGTTGGGTTTGGTGTGGGTTTGGGTTTCTAGTGGGAATGGGTTTGGGTTACTGGTGGGCATGGGTTTGGGTTAATAGTGGGCGTGGGTTTGGCTTGGGTTTGGGTTACTAGTGGGCCTATGTTTGGCGTAGGTTTGGGTTACTAGTGGGCCCACTAGTAACCCAAACCCACGACCGCTAGTAACCCAAACCCACGCCAAACCCACGCCCACTAGTAACCCAAACCCACGCTAAACCCACGCCCACGAGTAACCCAAACCCACACCCACTTGTTGCCCAAACCCACGGCCAGTAGTAACCCAAGCCCACGCCAACTAGTAACCCAAACCCATGCCCACTAGTAACCCAAACCCACGGCCACTAGTAACCCAAACCGACGCGCACTAGTAACAAAAACCCACGCCGACTAGTAGCCCAAAACCACACCCACTAGTAACCAAACCCACGCCCACTAGTAATCCAAAGGCACACCCACTAGTAACCTAACCCACGCCAAACCCATGCGCACTAGTAACCCAAACCCTCGCCCACTAGTAACCCAACCCCTAGTAATCCAAAACCACACCCACTAGTAACCAAACCCACGGCAAACCCACGCCCTCTAAAAACCGAAACCCTCGCCCACTAGTAACCCAAACCGGCGCCCACTAGTAACCCAAATCCTTAACCACTAATAACCCAAACCCAGGCCCACTAGTAACCCAAACCCACGCCCGCTAGTAACCCAAGCCCATGTCAAACCCACGGCCACTAGTAACCCAAACGCACGCCCACTACTAACCCAAACCCACGCTCACTAGTAACCCAAACCCACGCCCATATTAACCCAAACCCAAACCCATGCCCACTAGTAACCCAAACCCACACGCACTAATAACCCAAACCCACGTCCATGAGTAACCCAAACCCACGCCCACTAGTAACCCAGACTCACGCCCAGTAGTAACCCAAGCCCACGCCTACTAGTAACCCAAACTAACACCCACTCGTACCCAAACCCACGCCCACTACTAATCCAAACCCACGCCCACCAGTGACGCAAATCCTCGCTCACTTCCTGCCCTAGTGGGCATGGGTTTGGGGTAGTGGTTGGCGTGGGTTTGGGTTACTAGTGGGTGTGGGTTTGGCGTGGGTTTGGGTTATTAGTGGGCGTGGGCTTGGCGTAGGTTTGGGTTACTAGTGGGCCCACTAGTAACCCAAACCCACGCCCGCTAGTAACACAAACCCCTGCCAAACCCATGCCCACTAGTAACCCAAACCCACGCCAAACTCACGCCCACTAGTAACCCAAACCCACGCCCACTAGTAACCCAAGCCCACGCCCACTAGTAGCCCAAACCCACAGCCACTAGTAACCCAAACCCACGCCCACAAGTAACCCAAACCCACACCAACTAGTAACCCAAACCCGCAGCCACTAGTTACCCAAACCCACGCGCACTACTAACCAAAACCCACGCGGACTAGTAACCCAAAACCACACCCACTAGTAACCCAACCCACGCCCACTAGTAACCCAAAACCATACCCACTAGTAACCAAACTCACGCCAAACCCACGCCCACTAGTAACCCAAACCCTCGCCCACTAGTATTCCAACCCCTAGTAACCCAAAACCACACCCACGAGTAACCCAAAACCACACCCATTAGTAACCAAACCCACGCCAAACCCACGCCCTCGAGTAACCCAAACCCTCGCCCACTAGTAACCCAAACCCACGCCCAATAGCAACCGAAATCTACACCCACTTGTAACACAGACCCACGCCCACTAGTAACCCAAACCCACGCCCACTAGTAACCCAAACCCACGACAAACCCACGGCCACTAGTAACCCAAACCCACGCCCACTAGTAACCCAAACCCACGCTCACTTGGTACCCAAACCCACGCCCAAAGTAACCCAAAGCCAAACCCACGCCCACTAGTAACCCCAACACATACGCACTCGTAACCCAAACCGACGCCCACGAGTAACCCAAACCCACGCCCACCAGTAACCGAAACCCACGCCCACTACTAACCCAAACTCACGCCCACTAGTAACCCAACCCCATGCCCACAAGTAACCCAAACTCACGCCCACTCGTAACTCAAACCCACGCCGAGTACTAACCCAAACCCACGCCCACCAGTGACCCAAACCCACGCCAAACCCGCGCTCACTACTAACCCTAACCCACGCCCACTAGTAACCCAAACCCACGCCCACTAGTAGCCCAAACCCACACCAAACCGACGCCCAATAGTTACCCAGACCCACACTCACTAGTGGGCGTGCGTTTGAGTTACTAGTGGGCGTCGGTTTGGGTTACTAG